CGCGCACCTTGCTGCTCCCTGTGGCCACGCAGTGACTGCACCTTTGCCAGGCCCCAGTGCAGGTGGGAGAAGCCAGGCACGGAGGCAGGGCAGCCTGTCTGCAGAGCCCGGCTTTATCCTGCCTCCTGATTCCTGCCTACGATCTGCTAAAACAGAGTCCCTCCCTCACCTCCCACTCCCCGCCCAGAGGAGCACTGTTTTAAGACCATGTGTACAAAGATGTGTCCCGCAGGGGCTTCCGTTTCATATACACGAATAAAAGCACGCTGAGCTAACAGCACATGCAGGTTGGACCCCAAGCAAAGCGACATCATGAACCTTTCCCAGGACACCAGGGACAGGAAGGCAGAGGTGTGCCTTGTGTGGGACCCCGAATACTGAGATAGTTGCTTCCAAAGGTAAGAGAGCAGTGCTGGCCCCTCCACCTCAGGCCCTCCTCTGAACTTTCTGCGGCTAACTACTTTGGGAACCATTCATGGTAGGCGTCTGGCCCAGTGCTGCCTTTTGTTGGCATCTGACCTGGGAAATGCCCAGCTGCGCCTACGCCTAAGCCCAGCCCCATGTCCCTGCAGACCCACCAGCTGGTTCCTGGGAAACTCAGATAGGCCTGGCCCCCCCACAGAGGTCCTCATCTTCAGCTGCTCAGGAAGCTGAGGCAAGAGGATGTGAGAGCCCAGGAAACCCAGGCCAGCCTGGGCAACATGGGACCCCAGACGAAGACGGACAGAAAGACGAAACCAAAGTCCAGCCCCGAGACCTCCTCCTCCCTCAGCCCCCTCTCTAGGTGTGGCCTGGGAAGGCCAGGTAGGGTGGGGTGGGGAGGAAGTTTCTGTGCTCCACTGGTCAGAGGCACTGCTCCTCTCTAGGTCCCTGCCTTCTCATCTGCTCAAGGCCAGGCCTGGGCACCGCCTGCCAGCACTGTCCCCAGGCTCTGCACCACCCTTACTCCTACACCTGGGGAACAGGCTTGCCTCTGCCTATCCCCACACGAGTGCTCTGCCTCCATCCTGCAGGGACCCTGCCGGACACCTAGCCAGTCCTGTCCCTTCAATCTCAGATGTGGCCACGCTGGATTGCAATGGTGTCTTCCCACTGAACCACAAAAGCTCAGGATCTGCCCCCGGCAGAGGGCGCAGTCCAAAGGAGGCAGCTGTCTGCTGAAGTCAGGACGGACCCACCGCCTGGGAGCCTCACCCACCTCTGCCCACGTTGCTCGCTGCAGCTGTGCTCACTCACGCCAGGCCCGCTCCCACTGGGCGAGACAGAGTCTCTCACCGTGAGCTCCAGAAGGGCCACAGCCACCTCACCATGTCCTGGAGGTATCCTCAGAACAGAATCACCAACCTCCACGCTCTTGTGCGTGTGGTGCTGGGGACGAGGGCCAGGGAAGCGCCTGCCACGGAGCCACATTCCCAGCCCCGATCCTCGGGATTTTTGGCTTCATTTCCCATAGTTTAGTGAAAATCAGCAAGCAATATGCTAATTTTTATTTGGATTTTGGGGGGAAGAATCTTTGGGCCTCACCATGCACCAGTGTGATAGAAAGGGCTAGAACTGTTCGCTGCTAGGTCCACACCAGCTCCCATGGCTTCCTGGCTGATGCCAGGGTTCTACAGTGGTCCAAGGGGTGGGAGAACCAGCCTCTGAGAGTCCCTGGGTGACTTGCTCCAGCAGGTAGGTGACTCCCAACATTCAACACTCTTACTGTCAACATGGCAGAGGCAGTTGCTGCAGAGTGGCCCTGGGGCCAGTCCCTCTATGAACAGTAACTGCCAACCCTCCCGGCCTCTCCCTGTGCCCTCTCAGCTGGGAGCCGGCTCTTCATTCCCTTGCTAGCTGGTGGCTCTGGCTGAGCAAACGTGTCAGCCTGGCCAGTAGCAAGACCCAAGAGGGTGGGAACAGGAGACAGCCTGCCCTTGCTCTCTGGCTCCGCCCCTGCTCACTCCCCCAGTGGCCACATTCCCTTCTTCCAGAGACGAAAACCTGAGTGGAGGAAACTGAAGCCCTTCTCTGTTCTGGCTCCTCCTCCAGGAACTCCATTCTCATTTGCTTTTTTGACCTTGACTCCTAAAACAAACCCGCTAAATAAAAGCAAATTTTCCATGTGGCTTTTAGCCCAAGAAGAAAACAAGACACCGTGGCTCCAAACAAAGGAGCAACCAGCTGTTGTGTGGCAAGTGGTGTGCGTGGCGGTCACTCCTGAGCACTTCATGCTACCAGGCAGTTTCTTTCCCCAAGTGGGTGGACATCACGGCTAACCAAACTTTGCCAGTGACAGCAAGAGCAGGATAGGAGACACAGGCTTCTGGAGAGTGAGCTCTTGTGACCCTTGGAGCAGCAGCTTTTAAATGAGGTCCTGATGTGTGGACAGAAGCACCTTTCCCATCGTGACCCAAGAACTAGTTTTATATTTTTTAGATCTAGAAACCTAATTTTGAAGTGTCACCAAAAGATAGTTTACACGAACCATGTGCTGGGACACACTATTCTGTCGGTTTGTTTTCTATTCTGTTCTATTACCTGACTTGCTGGTCCCCACTGAACTGATTCACATTAGAACACAGCATGCAGCTTAAAAACCACTCAAGTGGCCTGGCGAGGGTGGCACACAAGTTTTTTTTTTAAAAAAACATATATACTTTGAATGAACGAATCATACCTGCCTACACATTTATGGGGTATAACACCATGTTTCGTAAAAGATGAGGAATCATTTAATGTAGCAAAATATCCTCTCTGTAACCTCACTTATTTATTTACTTTCTCTTTTTGGTGCTGGGGACTGAACCCAGAGGTGCTTTAACACTGAGCTATGTCCCAAACCCTTTTTATTTTCTGAAACAGGGTCTCACCAAGTCGCTTTGGGCCTCGCTGAGTTGTTGAGGCTGGCCCTGAACTTTGCTGGGATTTTAACTATCGTTTTCTATGGGGAGACATAGAAATTTTCTGTAAGTGATCTTAAGGCACAGTAAGCACCTCGATGGACGACCACCCCCGCTGCACGATGTTTCACAACTCGGCTGAAACCTTGAACCCGGGGCCAGCGCTTCTCACTCCCTGTCACCAGCAGCCAGTCCAGCTCCGCCAAGCTCAGCTCTCCCAGATCTCACTGTCAGGGAGGTTGCGTGGCCTTGTCCCTGTGCTGCCTGCTTCACCCAGCACCTCCTCCAGGCTCCACTGTGCTGTCCTGGGCCATAGGACTGCCCTCGCCCAGGGCTGGCGGGTAATCCACTGTGTGCGTCCCCCGCTTGCTTCACCCGTTTGTGGATACAGTGACGTCCATTTCTTGGCCTTGTGCATGATGCTGCGATGGACATGTCCCCAGAGTTGGGGTCTCTGGATCAGATGGCAGTTCTGTCCTGTTTTGGGGGACCCTTGGCACTGCAGTGCTCCACTGCCAACATGAGAGATGCCCTGCTCCCTATATCCTCACCACCACCAAGACACGTTTTTTAAAAAGTGCATAATGAAGTACACTCTGGCTGCTCATAGCGCCTCCTCGAGATGTCCTGATAAGAGCAACGAGAACCTGTGGTGTCATCAGACCACAGCCACGCAGGGACAGACGTTGGCAGCAGGCGACGGGAGAAGAGGGAGAGAAGCGTGACGTCCCGCGCACACCATCCACCTCAGACCGTTTAGAGAGAAACCCTGGAGACGACCGAGATCCCAGACAAATGCTGAACGCCTCAGATGGAAAGGATACAAGTTCTACAAATCAGACTTACTGAGGAAAACGACCTATTTAGTAACCTAAAGTCCAAGCAGGAGTAACAGGAGAGAAGGGTGACAGGCTGGTGGAAAGGTGACAGGGACCCGAGGCGCAGGACAGGCTGTGTCCTGTGCGGGCAGTGCTGTGGTTCCTGAGGGGGAAGACTCCTAGGCTGTGGGTTCTAGGAGAGGGCTCGTGGCACAGGGGTCCCTCCAGCCCCAGCAGCCATGTCCCGGGCCGTGGCTGCCCCCAGGACAGCAGGAGTACCACCAAGGCCGAGGGGCTGCGCTGTGAAATGCCGACCACTGCCCCCTCGGCCCTGCTCATTCCACTTACACGAAGCCCTGTCCCCACACCACAAGGGCAAACGATCTGGTGGCTCCTGTGGTTCAGATCAGCCAAGACATCTGCCAGGGCACAGAGACTGACCTTTGATCTTCAAGTGGCGGTTTCAACCCACCAGGGCTGCGGAGCTGGGCTTTCTGAACAACCCAGAGCTAAGAGTCAAGAGCCCACCCCACCCCCAGTGTCCCAAGGACAGTGGACGCAGCAGCACCCTCCAAGACCCAGGGCAAGTGTGCTGGGCCGAACGACACCGAGCACCTGCAACCACCCCGAGGAGGAGAGCCCCCACCAGGCTGCCGGAGCTCTGTGGGACCACAGCAGGGGGCTGCCGCTGGGCACAGGGGTTCTGCAGGAGCCTTCCAGATCAGGGAAGACTGGCAATGCACCTGGACTTAGCAGAGGTGGCCACGGCCAAGAGAATCTCTGTTGCTGTCACCCCAGGATTTACAGCAATCTTATTTCCGGCATCCCAGTGACCAGCATGGGGGGGGTCTGGGACAGGGTACATGCAGGTGTTCCCTCTGATGTCCCCCCACAAGAGCCAGGTAGGCAGTGAGCCTCGCGTGACTGCTCACCAATGTGTCCCCACATATGTGCACCTGCAGGGCTCTGTCGGGTGTGACAAGAGCATGGGGAGTGGCGATTCCTCCTACAGGGCTTGGGGGAGGGCTCGGCCCAGGTCAGAGGACTCCCTCTGCCCGGCCAAGCTCCTGAGGAAATGCCCACCTTTCCAAGCTGAGTCCTCCCCAAACCTTCTTAGAAAAAGGTGAAGCGCTGAGCAGCCTCCGCCACAAGGAAGAGGAGCAGCTGCAGTGGCGGCGGCCGGGGAGCACATGAGCCTGGGGTCACGTGGGGATGGCACCGCGTCCCTGCCCGGGACACAGGTCACGCTCCCAACCCGCAAAGCCAACCTCTTGGGACGGGGCACGACGCAGGGACTTACTTTGCAGTAGTTTCTTCATCGTATTTGGTTTTCAGGTCAAATAATTCTGTTCGAGTTTTTTCCAGGGCTGAAAAGACAAGGGCAGAAAACATGAGGTAAGATACTAACTGCTTAAGTCAAATGAAATAAAAGAACATACACAAGTAAAACGTCCCCATTTCAAAACAGACAAGAGGACAAAGGCAGGAAAAATGGGACAGAACATCGCCACAGCTCCACCTGGCCCAGTCTAAGCGCCTCCTAGGGAACTGATAGTTACTATGTAGATTTCCTGTTTTAAAATGTCTTTGTTTCAAAAATATTTCCACATGTAACTGCATACAGCCATGCCCCACGGTGACCTTTCAGCTGTATGAAAACGTACTACATACCATCATGCCCAATAGGTGATCCGTGATCACAGAGTGTGGCTGGTTGTGTGTTTAGTATGTTCTACTTTTATCCTTATTCTCCTTGTTTAAGGAAGTCAGCTGTAAGGAGAGTACGCAGGTGACCTGGCTGCGGCCTTGCCTACCTCTGCTTCACACACCCCATGCTGCAACCGTCAAGGGACGGATCTGTGCCGGGAGGTCTGTGTGAGGACATTCCTGTCCTCACATCTCAACAAAATCACCTGATGGCACCTTTCTCAGGACACCTCTCCACTGCTGCGTGGCCCCTGCTATATACATACACAGGGACATGCTTCCCTGCCTCCCATTCTATGGGAGGATGGGAACGTTTTCTGAGATCACCCCTTTGCCTTGGCCGAGTGGCATGGAAAGCTCTCATGTCAGGACACTGGCGACCACAGTAAAACCCAGCTCCACCTTCAGGTGCCCGAGAGGCACAGCTACTAGGAGAGCTCAGTGCTGAACCTTCCACCACCCGACCCTGCTGGCCTCCCAATAGGCAGCTCCCATCCCTACTTGAGTGTGACCTTTCTCCTAAGCCCTCACCAACACTGGGTTTTACCAATTGAGAAAAAAGCTGCCCACAGTCAGACAGGCAGACCACCTTCCCGGGGTTTCACTGATGGTCTCTCCCTGACGACCACACAGTTAGCAGTTTTTCTCATGTGTGTGAACCGTTTACATGGTTTCTGTGAATTGTGTGTTCCTATCCCTACTCATTATTCAGCTGGACTGTTTCTCTGTTTTCCAGGATTTGTAGGTGGTCTTTAGACAAATGTATCCTTTTTCAAATCTGTGGTGCAGGGGAGGGGACGCAGCCCGGTGCACACAAGGCCAGTGCTCCACTGCTGACGTGGTCCCCAGGCCTGCTTGATGTTGTCCGTGTCTGTTAAATTGCTTGTGATTATTTTCTCCCTGTCATTTGTGTTTTACCCTGGATTACGATGGCTTCCACTGTTCCTTCCCACATGTAAATTGAAGATACATTGCTGCTTCCCTTTCAAAAAAGACATGAAAAGGGAAGAAAGAAAGAAGTTTAAAGAAACTGCCAACTTTAGCATAACCTTTTTTGGTATCTGTTAAATTTTAAAGGTTCTGCTATTACTGTTCTCCTTAACTTAGGGTAGAAATAAGTTTTTTTTTCCCCCTATTATTGTTCTAAATGAAATGTCAGTCCTTGACAGTTTGGTGATTTAGATGTGTTTGTTGGAAAAAAGAGCAGGAAGAAAGGATGGTGGTGGAAGGGATGGAAACGGCAGATCCTCCCACTCCACGCTGACAGCTCAACGCGTGACTAATGGAGTCAGGGGAAGGCAGCCCGGGCTGGAGGCGCCGTGCACGGGCTCCGAGGCCCTGAAGGCTCCACAGGGGCGACAGGTGGGGGCCGGGAGGCGTCTAGTCTCTTCAGCCTGCCCTGCACCCACTGACCGGGGAGGAGGGGAGCGAACCTGTTTGCAGAGTCTGAAGTTTGTGTTCCGCTTCCTCCAGCTTCGAGGTGGTCGACATCTGAGTCTCTTGCAGCTGTCTGAAAAGCAAGAGAGCGGAGCCAGATTGGTCACCTTGCTCACCAACTGGACGCTTGGTGTGTCCTGGAGCTGCCCCCATCAGCTTGCTCCTTTGGAGGCACAGCTGGTGGCAGGCGCCCCATCAGCTGTCGCTCTCAATGCCCTGGGTGCTGTGGGGCCCCCTCGCCACCCTCCCAGCCCCCGCTTTGCAATCGCACATTACGTAAGGTGAAGGGCGCACCGGGGACTTGACGTGCGGTAATTGGTGTGGAAGGTTATCCTAAATGCAACTTGTTCTTGAGATGCCAGATATTAAAAAGGAAGAAATGCCATCATCATGCACTCATTGTTTCCCGAAGTTAGCCCAGGAAGAGTGATACATTTACATTCTGCTGACACAAAGAAGGAATTTGTTGGGATAAAGGATGTACTAAAGAGATGTGACAGCTGTCCCATCTCGGTTATAATGGAATGCAAATGCGACTGTGGTGCCAAATGGGAAGATTGTGAACGTCTCAAGCTGCATCCCACATAGTGATGTTTCCCATGATCTCCACACGGATTCCCTGGTCAGCGCCGGCATTCCTTCCTCCTAATCTGCCCAAAGCTCTAAAAATAAGCTTATTATTTTTACATCATATGAATATAACATATGTTCTCAACATAATAAACCTGGGAATACAGAAAAGGAGAAATGATACAGCTAAAAAAAAAAAAATCACTCAAATTTCCGTCACTTGTAGGAAAGCATTGCTAGTATCTCCATGAATTTCAATTATAAATCTAAGATAGGCTCAGAGTTTTTTAAAACATCAAATTTTACATGAGTGTGGAAATGTCCTCTCTTCTTTGGCTCCATTTCTACTCCTTGGATAGTTTGTATTTTTCTAAAATATTTCTCCATGTATAGAAATTCAGTGTAATAAGTAACACACTATAGAGTATAAGCCAACATGCAAGACAGTATAAGAAAATATCAACTAATATTTTATATACTACAATGAAATATAAACGAATATGTAACATAATACAATGAACTCCCAGAACAGAAAGTCATGTTACACAATACAGCAGAACGAAAACTAACCCCTAAGCCACCACAGGGTGACAGAGCACAGGAAACGTGCTACAGTGCAATCATGCCAACGACATGTGACATGCTACATGAACTATGGACTTCCTACTCCTCCATCCTTTCTGGGGCTGGGGGAACTGAGCCTGGGGTGCTCCACCCTGAGCCACATCCCTAGCCTTTTCAAGTTTTTGAGACAGGGTCTCACTAGGTTGCTGTGACCCTCCTGCCTCAGCCCTCAGGTTCTAGTACACAAGGGACCACAAGACCGTCCTGTGCAGCTTACTGCTCCGCTTGCTCCCATGTTCTGGAAACCTCTGCTCTGCATCCGTGGCCATTCTTCACTCCCCTATGGAAACTCGGACCCTTCAGAGTTTCTTTCTGTTAAAATGTTTCCTTGAGGATCTTTAAGTAGATACTGTTGCATAATTTCAAGAGTGAATTTGCTGGATAAAATTCTGACAGAGGAATTATAATGGTCAAAGACTGCAATTTGGTTTTTTGTTTTGATAGATATTGAAAGACTTTCCCACAAAACAAAACAGAAACAAAAATACCTCATCAGTTTAAACTCCTACCAACAATATGTGAGAGGGTTTCATGTGCCCAGGTGGCACTGGGTAAAATCAAGCTTAACATTTTACTGCTGAGTAGTGTTGAACATTTTTCACTGTATGAAGTGCCTGCTTACTTTCTCTGCCCGCTTTTGTTAGGGTTGGTTTTTTCTTATTAATTTGTAAGAACTCTTTACTTATATAGAAAATTATCCCTTGTCTTATTCGATGCACATATTTGTTCCCAGTTTGTTGATGTCTAAAACTTAATTGTCACTTGTTTTTTAAAAATGTTTTTTAAATTTTAGTCACATTTCTATAACTTTTTTTGTATTCTGAGAAATATTTCTGAATTTCAAAATTATTCAAAACAGAATATGCATCCAAGTTTTCTTCCAGGATGTATGTGATTTCATTATTGATATTTAAATCCTGGGTTCAATTTGATATTTTTGGCATAAAGAATGAGGAAATAAACATCGAGTCTGATGGCTCAACAGTCAGTCATTCTCATCTTTCAATATAATGAATCCTTTTACCCAACTTGAGAAGCCAGCTCAGTGGTGCTGAGGTTGGGGTGAGCCAGTTCCTGGCTTGGGTGGGCACGGCTGGCCGTGGGCAGACGTGCAGTAGGGTTGTGGGAGCTGCGCACACCCTGTGAGTCTCCCACTTGATGCCATGTTGGGCACTTCTCTTAAGTTATTCCCAACTCTATGAACCATGATTTTTATGGCCATCGAACATTCTGGGTAGCCCTGGCCTGCCTTTGGCTCCTCTGTTCCCATAGGCAGGCATGGGGGAAATCTCTCTGGGCACCAAGTGTGTTCTTGAGGGGAATTTACCTCGGAGCAGAGCCACACCAGCTGTCAAGAGCCCTGTTGTTACTTTTTTTTGAGGGGCTACGTGTTGCCTTCAAGGCTGGGTGGCCCCCAAGGATTGGCCTAGGTCTGTCCTCGAGGACTGCAAGAGGCTGTGTCTGTGCAGACAGGGAGGCCAGGCCACGGCAGAGGGTGGGCGCCTCTGGAGTCTCTGTTTTGCCTCCGACCCTGGTTAGCAGGGTCGACACTTCAAGCATGGCCAACCTGTGATTCGTTTCTCTCTGCAAAATGAGATTGCTGGGGCTGGGGCTCAGTGGTGGAGCGCCTGCCTAGCCTGTGTGAGGCCCTGGGTTCGATCCTCAGCACCACATAAAGATAAATAAATAAAATAAAGGTGTTGTATCCATGTACAACTGAAAAAAAAGAACACAAGGTGGCGTGTGGCGCAGCCCCATCTTGGTCACTCTGTGAAAACTTGTACTGCAAACAGCTGGCAAAGTTGTGAGGCAGAGTGGGCATGGGACTAGTGGACACTGGCATTTTTCTTCTTTTTGAAGTGACCTCAGTTTAACAGTCCTTCGTGGTGGCTCCTGTGAGATAGAGAGTTTGTCCCTCCTTTCCTTTCCTTTTCTGGGTGCCAGTGGTGCTCCACCACTGGGCCACATCCCAGCCCTTTTTATTTTGTATTTTACTTTGAGACAGGGTCTTGCTAAGTTGCCAAGGTCAGGATTGAACTGGCAATCCTTCTACCTCAGCCTCCAGAGTTGCTGGGATCACAGGTGTGCGCCACCGTCCTTGTGCCGAGTGGCACTGGGTACTAAACCTGGAGCACTATGCACTCTGAGCATACGCTTTATTTCTGAGCTACATACCCAGCCCAGATATCTACAATCTTATGGAGCCTGTCCTGTAGGGTGTGTGCGGTGGTGCACAAAACCAGCAGGAACCCAACAAGACCGCCTGCCATCAGGGACCCAGCCTGACTCCAACTTGCAACTGTAAGCTTAGAACCTCCATTTAATGGATATATATATTTCTTTATGCTGGGGCTAAAATTCAATAACTTAACCCCAACATTCTTAAAAACCTGACTTACACAGGGGGAACCACCAGCTTAACAGTGCTTACAGCTTTAGAAACGCTCTACCTTTCATTAAGTCATCACAACAAGAAACCTGGGCATGGAGAGCCACTGGAAATCTAGAAATCACACGGCTAGAGGATATGGCCACGTATTTTACCAACAGAGTAAATGCCTGGGCCCACGACTGATTCAGACTTTGGAGCTTTGGGGATTTTGGGATATGTGCAGAGACTTTACTGGATGCACACTCCTAATTCAAAACTCTGAGCTGGAACAAACCCCAGGACCTTATACAGGGTAAACATGTGTCCTGCCTCTGCGCTACACCCTGGCCCCCCAGTCCCGCACTTCTTCAGTTCTTAAAGAGTTCTGAATTTTGGAACATTTCAGATTTTTGGATCAGGAAAGCTCTGCCCATGTTAAGTCCTTGATTTACGAAGCACCGAGGTCATGAAACAGGCCAAACCGTACGCCCACAACCACAAGCCCAGGGCAGTGTGTGGTGTGTGTGTGTGTGTGTGTGTGTGTGAGAGAGAGAGAGAGACAGACAGAGAGAGAGACATGGAGGGGGAGGGTGTGAAGTGCCCACCTCTTTGAGGAGGGCAGGAGGAGTTCACGTGCGCCCAGGGCCTTCCCCACGGAGGACAGTCATGGCGAGGACCTAGCTCAGGTACGGCCACCAGGTGCCACCTTGTCAGCTACACATGCCTCACGCTCATTCTCTGGCCCCATCTCCTGGTGCCACCCACCACTAGGGGTAGCCAGATTCATTGCACTCAAGGTCACCCCACAAAGTCAGGACCCGACTGCTTTCTTTTTTTAAGCAAAATTTTGAGCCATTGGGATCCTGTTTATCCCCTGGGCTGATGTCACAGGTGCATTTTTTAAACTGTCTCATGTCACAGTCAAGGGTAAAGGTGGCTGCCGTGCGAGCTGGGTCCACGCTCACCTCTCCTTCTCAGCAAAATCATTCTGCAGCTTGTGTTCCTTCTCGAGCGCGATCGCCTCGGCCTGGCTCTTCAGCGTCTGCTCGTATTCTCGGATTTTCTCTTTAAGTGCTTTTATCGTAACCTCTGCAGATAGAAAGGAAAAGAGAGAAACTCCAACAAGAGAAGCGGGCTCCGCGGTGAGAACCAGCAGGAAGGGTGCGCTCCAGACTTCAGCTCGTCTCCCGACACAAAATCAATGCCCAGAGTCCCTTCGGAGACCTTTCACTCCCTAACGTGGGCTGAACTCGCAGTGTTCAGGATGAGCAGGATCAATGGATTTTGCTGGGAAGGAGCGCTCTGGTTTCTCTAGCGCATTTTAAGAAAAGAGGGGAAATCAATGGTAAAATATGATATCGCCCTATTGACGAGTCTTAAATTAGTTCTCCACGGAGGGAAGATTAATAAAGTTTTAGTGTGAGTTTAAGGACTTTCTTACAAAGAAAGCAGTTCATCGTGGTGGCTCTGTGGAAAGGAGGCCAGTCAGCGGGGAGCTCCAGGTGGCCAGAGGTACCGTGCGGTCTCCTCAGCTGGGGGACCTGCCCTGGGGTTGGGTGCTGGGGCACCCGCCACCCAAGTGGACATGGCTGTGTGTGCACAGCAGATGACGTAGGGCCTGGGGAAGACACTCAGGCTGCTGCGGTGGCCTGGAAGTACCCTAGAGCAGAGCAGGAGAGCCAGGGCCTTGGGCAGCCACATGGGGGCCTGAAGGAGCCAGAACTCCAGGGCAGATGGTCCCTTAGGCGGCAGGGCCACCTGGGGAAGCTGAGCCCAGACAGCTCTTGATAGTCCCTTTAACTACCCAAACCGGAAACTAAAGCAAGTGTGACAAGTAGAGTAGGGTCCTAACTCAGACCTACGGGTGTCCTTCTATAGATGTCCCTTCCCACCTCGCTCTGCCAGCACTGTGGTTGCAGTCCCAAGAGAGTAGGGCTCTTGGGGACCGTTGCCTGCTTTTCCAGATCCATCTCGGTAGGACGGAGTGTGTGCGCCCAGCACCCTGCAGAGTCGGGTGCTCAGCCCGGGTGCTGCACAGGTGTTTCCAGCCCAGCACTACGGGCAGAAGTGCCATGTGTCCATATGGCCACACAGACCGTGGGCTTGAAAGGACACAGCAGGCATTTTCAGAGCGGACCTGTCTGGTGTTCGCTCTGGAAACGACCCGTTCTCGCCTGACCTTGGCCTGGCAGTATGGCTCGAGAATGATGTGTCACAGTATTGTCCTCACACAGCTATTCTTCCAGGCCCCAAACGACCTACCAAGGGGGTGCCCTGTTTCTCCCTCAAATGTCTGATGGAGCCATTGGCTTTCCTTTCTTCCTCTAAGGAAGGCCTGTGGGGGTCGACATGATGAGAAGGGCCAATTTCCTCTCTTCACAGAGGGCCCTCAGCTTTAGTCACAAGGGGGTGGCTTTCCACAGCTGGCTGACGTGGTCCCACCTGCACCCACAGGCATCCGTGGGAATGGGTGGGCTGAGCACCCGGGAGGCAGCACTGGTGTGAGGGTTGGTGCCTGTTGCCGCCAGCCCTGGTGACACAACTGTTCTCCTTCCGAGGAGTCTGCCGTCTCACGGAGCTGCTGGGGCTGCTCACCCACCAGCAGAGCCCAGGCCAGGAGCATCTCATCCTGTCACCTCTGGCCCTCCGCTGCTGCCTCAACCCAGGTCCAGGGCGTTCCCTGGCGTCTCCCCAGGCTCCCTAGCAGGGGGTAGAGGGTGCTGGTAGAAGGACCCTCTTTGGCTGTGCTCACGCCCCAAATCTTGTGTGTGACAGGCAAGGGCTCTACCACTGAGCCACATCCCAGCCTTTTTTACTTTATTTTGAGACAGGGCCTCACTAAGTTGTCCAGGCTGGCCTTGGACTCGTGACCCTCCTGCACCGGGACGGCAGACGTGTGCCATGCACCCGGTTCTGCTCTGACTTGACCAGCATTCAAAAGCTCTGATGGGGAACAAGTCAGGTGCACCCCCGCCCTTCCAGATTATGATCAGTCAGGCTGGGAAGAGAAGAAGGAAGTGACCCCCTGCTCTTCCCCAGATTAGGGAAATCCCTTATCAATAATGAAGAAGGGGGAACTTCTGGCAAAGCAAGTTCTAGAAGAAGCTGATGCTGGCTGAGGATCCAGCCACCCTCAGGTACTCCTCCAACACCCTAAGTGGGGAGGACGAGAGCTGCCCCTGAGAAGACAGCTCCTGACGAGGCAGAGCCACCTCCCAGGGCCACAGGGTTAGGCAGTGACAATCAAGGGACCCGACCAGGTCTCTGCCTCTGAACCATCCATTCTTGGGGCTTGGATGTTGTATTTCATTTTATGAAGCCCTCAAAGGGGTTGCGGGGAGAAAGCACTCCATGCTCTTGGGGCTGGTGGCCGGCTACCCTGCGACGCCTGGCAGTGGATGACCGCCACACAGGGCAAGGCGCAGCGCAAACCACGGGGCCTGGGTGCCTATGGTGCCACCCATCAGCACACAAGAGAGGCTCCACGAGAATCCAGAGTGGTCTGTCGGAATTAGACGCCAGAGGCCACTGAGGGAACAAATAAAAAGGCTGCCCTTGCCATGGGACATCACCTCCTGGCAGACCAGAAGGACCAGGTTATCCTGCACGTTGGAACCAGGGTAATTCTGACAAGAAATGACTCCTACTTGGCCAAGGGAGCACCTTCTCTCAGAAGGATCCCAGCTTAATAAGCCCAATGCTTGCTTTCAAGCTGGACAGAGCTGTCCCTTTGTGTCCCCAAGGCCCACCTGAGCCAGACTGGGGTGGGGTCTGGGGTGTGGTCTGAGCTGGCCTGGTTCCCCCAACCACCCCAGCCGTTCCTTGGCCCCAGCAAGGAGGCCCTGCTGGCCCGAGGGCCTGAACACACCAAGGCCCGTGGGACACACAGAGACCCGGATGGTAGCCGCTGCCCTCACGACCCACGCCTGTCTGTCCGTGGGCACTTCCCACACCATCCCAGTCTCTCCTGAGGGTAGCCCCCCCAGGGCTGTCCCCAGCGCTCACCACTTTGCCCTTCATCAGCCCCAACCCTATCAAGCAGGAGGCTGAGAGGGGATATTGGGGGCTGCCTCTCCTACCCGACTCCTCACCCCGTCCCCAGGCAGAAACAGGCTGAGCTGTGACTTGGAGCTGGTGGAAAACTTGCAACTGCTGCCAGAGGGGACACGGAAGCCAGGAGGCTCCGGGACTCTGCACACATCTGGGTTTTAGGCACAGGGAAGATTTCTTTGTTCCTCCTTGACAGGAAAAGCCAGGCCACCTCTGCCCCCTCTGACGTGCTGACGCTGGGCAACCACACCAAGGAGCTGTTTTCTTTCATTAGATTCGTAATGAATAGGTGAGGCCCACAAGGAAGGCCGTGCGTAAGCGGCAGCCTGTGCGGATGCGTCTCGTCTGGAGCCGTAATGGATCGGCGGCAATTACTAAATGACTTGCTGTGTGTGACCCTTTGATCATGAGCTGGCTCTCTGACAGGTGGCGCCTGGAGGCAACACATCAGTCTTTTAAAAGGCAGATTCTATCACATGATGTACAAGAGGAATTTTCAAAGAATTCTGATCAGCCCAGGCTGAGGGCAATAAAATCATACATAGTTATTGGGCAGAGAGAAGTTTAGCTTCTAAATAGCTAAGCAGCATCATTATCCCTCTTTAACGATTCTGCTCTCGCCCCACCCTGGCCTCCTGACGTGGATAACAATCACAGGCGTCTTAACCGCAAGGGAGGCAACAGAGAAAACAGAAAGAGGCCAAGCAATGAACCCATCTCCCACCAACCTTGGTTTTTCACTTCGGCGAATTCCTTGTTGTATTCTTCGAGAGTCTCCCTAAGTTTCTGGTTCTCTGTTTCAATGTCGTGCAGGCGTTGCACTTTGAGCTGCAGCTGTTGCCCGAGGTCCAGAGCTGGCACGGGATCTGCACAGGAGGACAGCACACGTGAGCCTGGTCTCTGAGCAGAGGCTTGGAGCAGGCCTCCAGGGCGCCCAGCAGGATCCCACTGCAGGCTCCCCTGGGGACATTTCTCTTCCAGCCTGGGATAGGGTGGGGGGCTTCTCCGTGCTTGGGAAGAACCACCCCAGGACTGTCAAGGTGTGAAGACAGGTGGGCACAGCTGTGGGACTCACTGGTGTCTGCCAACCCTCTGGCCTGTGTGAACTGGAATAACTTCACTCTGATCTGACATGAAGGGAAATGCGGGCAGCGAAGGAAGGAGTCCCAGGAAAACCCACCACACATGGCTGAACCTGGAGGACTGTGGTGGAGATGGAAGTCACACCTAGTACTCCAAGAGTGGCACGTGGATTGCAGAACAATGTAATGGACACTTTCTCATCTGAGCCTCCCCACATTGGGAAAGAGACGCAGGACAGAAACAAAATCTAAAGGTCCAGGATGCAGAAGGATGGGCCCAGAGTTGCCTGGCTAGCTGGTGGGCACAGGGCACAGGCCAGGTGACCGAGAGACGAGAGAAACCCCAGGCTGTGTGGGAGGCCACCCTATTTCAGCACAGGATCCCTCTTCCCGGCTGTCCTGCTTTGCTAATGAAGGATGCCAGGAAGAGCCAGGGGGAACAGCTGCTGATCCCAAGACCGAGATCTTACAGAAGCACAGAAGGTGACCCAGCACCACCCTGTTACAGGCTAGTGTCCAGAAGCCGGGAGGCTACCAAGCTCATGACAGAGCAGACCAGCATCCAGGCCAGGCCTGCAAGGTCTTGTGGCCAACTGAACATGCTATCCACTATGAATTCCCTTAACACTGGACTTTAATCCAAAATTGGAGATTGCAGACGTGCAATTTACAGGGCTGACTCGTGGCCTTCAGCTTTACCACTGATACAGCCCGAGACGGACAGACGTGATGTGGTTCTGTCAGTTTGAGAATCATGGTTCCTTCTGCAGCCTACAGAGCAATTATTATCCACCTGCTGGGCACCAGCGAGGCACTTCCTTTAGGATTCTCAGGCTCCATCAGAGAAGAATACCCAAATCCACAGGGCCTGGAAAGATTATTGAACTTATTTCTGGCTTGGGCGCCAGTGTCACTTGTGAGCTGGCTGCGGAGATTTAGTCTCCCGTGGAGGAATGCTAAACACGCGGCTCGGCGGATCAACAAGGGTGTATATTCAAGGCCTCGCTTAATTTTCAAATGCCAGAGTCATTAATTTTTTAGACCACCCTTGGTTCCTGGAAACCAGGGCTGGGTCTCCTGCCTCAGTGAGTGCGTCCAGCAGGGCCAGCAGCTCTCGGAGGTCCTGCTGTCCCTACGGAGCTTACAGCAGCAGGCCCGGCCAGCAGAGCCGCGTGTGGGCTCCCCCCGGTGCTGCCCGTCATGCACAGCCCTGCCCGCTCGCTGGGCACTCTTCCTGCGCGTGCGCATGTCTACGGCTTTCTCATTTATGACTTTTCATGATTATTTTAATCAGCATTAAAATATTAATGTTCAATTAGAACTCAAAAGCTATTTTGGGGAGATGGTTCTACTAGGCAGGAGTAGTAATAACAAGACAAATGGCATTCTCGGAACCTGCCAGGTGGGATGTTTTTCTTTGTTTTTTAAAATTTCAGCTCCTCTCTGGTCAATCTTGCACCCCTCCCTTACCTCCATGGCCTGGAGCTGGGCAAATGACCGGAAGGACTCGGCCTCTTCCGAGGACCTAGGGTGTGCACTGGTCCCCAGTCAGGGAAGGACAGCAGAGTCAGCCTGGGAAGGTGGCTCAGGCCCCTCAGATGGGCTTTCCCCCATGACAGCTAGGACCAATAGTATTTAAAAAAATTAAGCCCTCACACTGCAGGCCCTTCCCCAAGGTTCCTGTCAACATTTCCAGCCGGTTCTTTTCAAGTAGACAGGACCCACTGTGTTGGCTCCAAAGGGAAAAAATAGCTTCTGTGCAATTTAGCCAGGAATCGGGGACATATGAAAATAAGTCACGTGTTATCAAGTGAATGGCAACTAGACCTTGAGACAAATTTTCAGAGTGTTGTACTGTAAATGAAAATTCTGCTAATCTCCTAATTACTCACTGTGGCATCTACATTTGACTTAACCTATTAGAGGTCAATGCCTGAGTAGCAACACCAGTCACTGAACAGGGAACAAACTGAATGTTCAGCTCCAAACTTCACTGCAGTTGAAGACTAACTGCTGACGGCATTTGAATACTGTTTTGGGATATGTAAAAGGCGTTGCTAAAGTAGCTCTTAGGCTTAATTTTTATTACTTGTATTAAAGAACAGCTAATTTACCACATGACAATATAATGACTCTAGCATGTTTGGGCTGGAGACCAAAACAATGAATTTCAGCCAAACCCCAACCTGCATGTTCATCTGGGGAAATCATAGCTTTTTGTCTCGTTAATGATTTCCAATGCCATTTAACCCCCTAAATGTATCATTAGGTCTTCTTCTGCATGTCACAAGCCTCCGATCTCAGTAGCATGGTTAGGAAACGTCTGGAGCAGGTGAGAACACATCCATCGTAAAGAGGACTGTGCAGACCCCCGAGGCCCTGTCCCCCAGCCTCCTCCAACTCCACGCAGTTTGCCACCAGTTCCATCCGCCTGATGTGACTAACTTGCAAAGTGTTTTACAGTCACCTGACGATCAGTTCCTGAAATGCTCTGAGGCCCCCTGTGCAGCACAGGTCTCAACATAATCATAACCACCACCGATGCCGTCACCTGTATTCATTCAGCGCCTTTGCTAAGGACACATACCATGATTTCATTGATTCCGCCATCTCGGGCAGAAGCTGGGGAGGGCCCTGCAATGTCAGGTGCTGGCATCTCCCCCAGGGACAGGGGAGGAACGAAGCCAGCCAGGCAAACAGGTACGCAAAGCTCTAATTAGGAATTCTGCTTCCCGAGCCAGCAGCCAGCTCAATCACACTGCCTCTCCAAGTACTAATTTAACAAGCATTTCCGAAGCGACTCTGCTCTGGGCAAGGCCTGAGTTAGGCTCTGGGATAGACGCTTGGCCAAGTCAGCAGGAACCAGCCCACAGCAGGTAGATCAGGTGCAGAAATAACAAAGGCAAGGCAAGAGCACCCCACTGAAGGCAGGGGAACCCAGCAGCAGCCCCAATAGGGTTCCTTCTAGGAAGAGGTGACACCTGGGCACCCCCTCCCCTCCTAGGCACACAGAACTTGGGCCCACGGGGGCTGCGGGCTCAGATGCAGCAGGCAGAGGAGCAGGGAGTGTGAAGTGCCAGGCTTAATGGCCGATGGCTGATGTGCATTCTATGATGTCAGCACTGTCCTGGCCACCAAGGGGACATGGTGGTGAGCAGCTCTGTCCTGGGGGCTGGGGATGCATCTCAGTGGTAGAGCATGTACCTAGCTCATGTGAGATTCTGGGCGGGGAAGCTTGACATTCTAGTGAAGTGAGAGAGACAGACAGGAAGCAAAACCAACAAGACAAAAGACCTCCATGTACTACTACCAGGTGTGCAGGAAGGAAGTGGAGCTGGATGTGTGTCACTGGGGAGGGGTGGGGTTCTGGAAGGCGGGCTGGAAGCCTCCAGGCTCCAAGGAGATGAGCTGGGAAGGAGAGCTGGTGCTGAGGAGGAGCTTGTTGAAGAAGATTCACACTAAGCAGAGACAGCGGCCAGTGCAAAGGCCCTGTGGTTAGTGTGAGTGTGGCACATTCAAGGCACAGAGGGAGCCAGGGTGGCTGCTGTGGAAGGAGTGATACAGGAAAAGTGGTCAGAGGGAGGAGGCCTGTGGACAAGGATGTAAAGAAAAACATGATCACAATGAGAAGAGAACTAGAAGATGTGAAGCAGTGCCAGAATGAACCAGAATGAACCCTGGGGCCAAAAAACGCAATGTCTGAGGAACCCGGAGACCCAGCAGGGAAGTCACGGCAGGAGATGGGTGGCTCGCAGGGTAAGGCGCCGGGCACAAGGAGACAGCGTGGGACTCTAGACCACAGAAGGGCTGGTTGGCTTTCCGCTGGCAAAGTAGTTAGGAGTTTTAAGTTTAAAGATGAGCGCCATAATTTTCTTTAACAAAAGCCACGTGTTCCAAATTAGCTACCCTGTTCTCAGATGGCAAATGGCTTTCATATCAGTGACATGCTGCCTGACAATGATGAAAAACCAACACAATGTCTCCAAAGTAAAAACGATGCTTTAATCCTCAATGGGAAAAAGTCGCTTCTTGGAGGAAACTCAAGCTATAGTGACGACAGTTCAAGAGCAGATTTTGGAAACGCGCCCATCATCGTGTCCCCCTATGTGAAAAGGCGATGTCATCCTCTATTAACTGTCCCACGCCCCACGCTGCACCTGGGAGAGGGCAGCACAGTGGTTCAGTGTGGGCTGGACGTCCCGTGTGTGCCCGGACAAGCCACTCACTTCAGGGTGGCCTGATAACTTGCCGAGATGGTGAGGCTGTGGTGGGGACTCACAGGGACAGCTGCCCAGCACAGGAAGAGCTCAGCACTCAGTAAGTGCTACCTGCTGTCTTCCAACTCAAACCTGACTAGACATTTGCCAAAGAGGCTTCAAACCATTTATCACTAATATAAAACCGCAGCAGCTTAGCAATAAAAAGTAAAATGAAAATGTAAGAGTTTCGACAAGTAACTTTTCCTAACTGTACACAAGTTTTGAAAATATGAATCAAGTTGAAACCAAAGCCAATAATGAACTTCTTTGGGTTGGACCTACTTGTCTTTGGGAGTTATCTTTTCAGGCCTTTATAACAAAATCCACAAAACCTGGAGACTCCGTTTCTAGTCACAACTGATTCCTGGCCCTGGACTTGCCCTCTGGCCACCAACAACCAGAAAGCCGGGCAAAACCCAGGAAAGAACGCGTGACCGACAGAGCAGGACTGTGGCCTGAATGAAGTGACCGAGAGCCTCAGCCACCAGCTGTCGGCCAAGAAGTGCTTTCTGAACAGCTGCTACT